CGGCAGCGGCGGGCGCAGGAGCAGGGCGTGGCCGGGCCCGAGTTCAAAGTCAGCGCCCAGTTCCTGGAGGTACTGCGGCCTCGCGGGGTGGACAGGTGGGGGACACGGGGCCCGCAAGACTGTGCACTGGAGCTGGGCTCTCCTCCCGGAATGAGCCGCGGGAGCCACGCAGGCATCTTCAGGGGATGAGCTCCCCGCTGCTGGGAGCATCCAAGCGAGAGTGGAAGGCTGCGGGGTGGGACACGCGAAGGGATTTCCTGCGTCCAATGGGGCTTGAGAACCGTGGCTCTCGCCCCTCCTTCGGCCTCCCCGGCCCCGGGCCCTGTCCATTCTGGCTGAGATCCTTCCTGACCCTCTGAGTGTCTGACCCCCAGAAGGAAGGGCCTCCGGAAGGCACCTGCCTCACTCACGGCTCCTGCAAAACCCCAGGTCCAGGGTGAACCGTGAGGGGTTAGATGGTGCCCCGTCTGTCCGGACAGACACACAGACGGATAGACACCGTGGCACCCAGTCCCCCTTCTGTTTCCTCTCCCCCTTCCCGTGGGTATTTCTGTCCTTTAAGGCCACCAACCCCTCGGACGTGTGAGGCCTGCAGCTGCCCCTCCCCCTGCAGGATTCTGCTCCCTTTCCCCTCCCCAGCCCCCCCTCCTGGGCCAGCCCGGGGCAGGGGCAGGATGACACTGCCTTGCTAGCAATTCCAAAACGCAGAGGCGGAGGCCCTCTGAAGTGGGGTGACCGCTCCCGGCCAGGCCCCCTCCCGTAAGGGTCTCCCCAGGCCCTCCCCACTCGGCTGGGCCATGTTCGCTCCTGCGTGTCGGCACACAGGTGTGTCCCTGCCCCGCTGTGACATCACCACCACCAGGCCCCTCAGGGGCCGCCCCCACTGAGCTCTGCTTCCCGCCCGAATCGGGGAGCACGCCCCATCCCGCCCTTCCCAGGCAGCGACATCACAGGATTCGCCCCGATCCTGGTCGTGTCTGTATCTGGACCTAGAACCCGAGTCCCCTTGGCCCTGGTCCCCGGCCTCCTGCCAGGCCTGCCAAAGCCTGGATCCTGGGGGAGGAGCAGCCGCGGGAGGGCCCTGCCACCCCCACCCCTGTCCAGGTCAAAGGCCGTGGAATCCAGAACCTGAGGGACAGGGTCGGCCGGGAACCTCCCAGGGCCTCAGTTTCCCCATCTGCAGAATGGAGCTGGTCTATAGATGTGAGCCCAGCCGCTGTCTCTTCCGCCCCCCTCCCCCTCCTTGCTTAGCTCTACAACGAGGAGATCCTGGACCTCTTCGACGCCACCCGGGACCCCGACGCCCGCCACCGCCGGTCCAACATCAAGATCCATGAGGACGCCAACGGCG